ATTCTAGACATAATGGTGCTGGAACTCAGTGCTGCCTGACATACAATTGAAAAACCCGCAAGTGGAAGCCTGACATTCCCAATCCTTCTTCTTTTTAAGCATGTAAGATCAGCAACCTTTCTAAACAAAGCACATGTAAGATACACTTGCCCCTGCCCTATCACCAATTGTCATCCGTGTGTGTGTGTTTCATTTTGATGCAATTTACCAGAAGGTATAATAGTACATTATTTGTGGAACTGCAGCTGGAGAACGTACAAAAATGAAAGGAATCAGAATTAGGGTTATTTGCAGATACTATTCAAGCAGATACCATTAGGAACAGCAGTGAAAGCAATGCGGAAAGGTGATGAATAAGCAGGATAATTCTACCATTAAGATTTGAAGCATTTTTGATGTCAGAGGCATCAACATGGCTTAAAAGCTACCTGGTTCATGCCTGCATGGTAGTAGTTAAAGGGGGAAAGCACCCTCTTCTTCTCTCCTTCCTAATTTGTGGGAGGGTCTTTTTATAGAGATAGGCATTTAATGAACCACAAACCAAAAAAGCCATACAAACTGGGCCAATTCGTGGTTCATTTTGCAGGTGGATCAGGGAATGGTGCCTTCATGAAGTGAAACAAAGCACCGGACTTTTTTATTTTTGGAGTGTCATTTTGCTTCATGCCCCCTCCCAGAAAGCCCCTCTTCATGAACCCCAGCGCCTACCTTTCTTGATCTTGGGCTGCTGCTCAACTGAGTAGGACCATAGGCTGTCTGGGGCCTACTTCCTGCCCCAGTGCTTAGTGTATCATGGGAAGAGCAGTTTTGCTGCCCATCGGGCTAGAAGTGGGTAACTCTCAAAGAACGACACTTCCCACAACACCCTAAGGCTCTCGGGAAGCACTGGGGTAGGAAATACAGTAGGTCCCAGACAGCCTACAATCCTACTCAGCTGGGCGGCATGTAAGTACAGTAAGGTAGGTGCTGGGGCCCATGAAGGGAGGGGCATGGGGTGGGAAATCCATATAGAGGAGGGGCACTTTCTGTGTAGCTGAGCTACACAGAAAGCCACCTTTCATTTAGAGATGGACCTAAACTGAACAAATCATAAACTGGTTCTTTTAAAAATAATTTGGAATGGCTCGTGGTTCATGGGCACCAGGAAATCATGAACTGTCATGAACTGCCATTGTGCCAGTTCGTGCCCATCTCTAGTCAGTTCACCTATTTTTGGAAGCAGTCATACCAGCTTCATGGTAGCCAAAAATTGAGCTTGTCTCCTTAACACTGAACATTAGCATGCAATAAAAGGATGGGGGTGAATTGTAGGAGGATGCTGAGTATGTTTAACTCAGAAATTGCTGTATTTGACCACCTAGGCAAGTGGTTCTCAATCCTGGGTATCCCAGGTGTTCTTGGACTGTAATTCCCAGAAATAGCACAATTGGTGGTGAAGGCTTCTGGGTTATCTAAAGTTGGGAACCACTGAACTAGATTATTTAAAAGATCAATAGGAGATGCCAAAAGTAAGACAAACACTGGAGGTTTTCCGTTGCAATGAAAACACCTTTCCCAAGAACTTTAGCCTACATTCATCATCATTTTCAACAGAGACTAAAAATGTAGCTCCTGTAACCGAATCATAGAATAATGAAGTTAGAAAGGGGCCTATAAGGCCATCTAGTTCAAGCCCCTACTCAATGAAGGAATCGAATTCAAAGTATTGATGAGTGTCTAAGGATGGTTGTGTGATTTCAGATATTTGAAAAACACTGTGCTTCAGAGGTCAGCCAATTAAATTCAGTTCTGAATTTTCATTTGAAAATCCAAATCTTTATTCTTCCTAATGGCGATCACTGGAAATCGACAACTGCTTTCTTCTCTTCATCTTGTATTGACTTGTATCTCTCTTGATTCTTTCAAAATGGCCCCAATTAAGTTCAAGTGAATTTGAAGCAACATTAACTTTAAATAAGGGTATCAAGCTAATTTGAATGGAGATTCTGATGTTTAATATGTCACCATTAGACATAGGGACGAAGTGCCAAAATGGAGCTTCATCTTGGTTTGTGGGTCATCAAACCTGATGACCCACAAACCACAAATTGCCCCCCAGTGACCCGATGAACAGTAAATCAATTTGTCATTCGTCGGGTCATATTTTTGTGCTTTCACTCCTCTTGCTATGACCCACAGGTCACAGCAAGGAGGGAAAGCAGGGATCAAAGCAATCCCGCTGCGGCTGGGGGATTCCTTTGATCTCTTCCCTCCTCTTTTTATGCTGCACAGGCATAGGAAGAGGAGGAAAGGGGAACTATGCTAACCCTCAGCACCAGGGGTGGGATTCCCTCCTGGCAGGCTTTAGCAAGTCGCCCAAAAGGAAATCCCCTTTCTGCTTATACCCCCGAGGAACAGCTGATTTGTGGGGGCATAAGCAGATAGAGAAAGAAGGGACAAATATAAAAGGGTTGTATTCATTGCTTTGTATTCGTTGGGGTCTCTGATCAATCAGGGATATTTAACAAATATCCTGGTTCGTTTTTATATTCGTCCCCATGTCTAGTCATCATCTATAACCTGCCTTATCACAGAAAAGCAAAATTGCCACTACAGCTAGCTGATGAGGTTCCAGTCACATGCCTGATTACGCACCCATGTTACATGAGCAAGCATGACACGCTCACCATTTAGCAACAAAATAAGAAGCACAGAATTGTGGCCATTGAGCTTAAAGGATGTAGGCGAGGCTTCATGTATTTTTATTAAAGACTCACCTGATTATTTGCCCACAACATATGAAGGGGCACAACGTCCTATTTTGTACTCTAACCACCTCTGATATCTGAAGTAAGCAGGAAAGAATGGAAAAGCAGCTTCAACATGTTCCTTTAAATACACAAAGTTCCCCCTCAACCTGTTTTATAACTACATGGGCACATTTATATTTATTAAGTATACAGCTCATGTTGCCCCTAGTTTCTAATTCTCATCTCTTGATGTCTCCGTTCTAAGTCCTTTGTGGCTTAGAGTCATTTCTAATACTTGAATTATGCTACCACCAAAATGATGTGTGCTGCAGTTTTCCCAACACTGTAAAGTTAATTTGCAGGTTTTTATAATGCTGCTGCTGCAATCTTGTCTACATTAAAATCCTGTAAACTTAAAGAAGACGAGGTCTGCTCGGTAGACTTAAAAGCAGATTTCATTTAGCAGTACAAGGAGTCTTATAAGCTAGGGTGTACTGTATTACTGCAACATTTTTACTTAGTTTACTGTTTATGTAATTACAAAAGAAAAAAAGCATTTTTCCTGCATTTTCAACAATATTGGGGTTAGAGCCCTGGACTGCCCCCCCCCATAGTTCAAAATCTATGTATAACATATGAACCAGAAAACAACTACAAAGCATAAACAGTTGATTAAATTCTCTCTCACACACACATACACACGCATACTGTTGAGAATCCTTTCCATACAGTATCATGTGTAATGAGCCTTGAAGGTTGTTACAGCCTTCTGGTCTACAGCCTGAATAAGATATGTGTTTGGGGCAAGTAGAGCACTTTGATGCCTTTGGTGTTGAACTCATGAGGTTCTGAGTAGCCAGGGGCACACTACTTATTGAATACTTATTTATTGAATATTTAACTGCTGGATAGCTTAGTGGTTTAGATAACTGGCTGTGGAGCCAGAAGTTAGGAATTTGATTCCTTGCTGTACCTCCTTTACAGGTGGACTTGATGATCCATCATTTCTGCAGTTCTAAGATGATGATGTTTGTATTTATTTATTGAAAAAATGTGTATAACTGTATAAAGAAAGGAAAGGAAACTAAACTGCCAGGTACAGAGAAAATGCCACTCCATTTCCTTCCTCATGTGCCAAAAAGAATGTGACTTTCTATTTAAGATGGTGAAATTCTTCAACAATTTCTCATGCAGGTGGCCTACCATTCACAGTGGCAGCAACACAGATTCTATATTTGTTTTGAAGAATTTGAATTTTAACATTTACTGGGTTGGCCACTGTACACAATATAAACCATCATTTTAGGACACTAACTAGAAAAAAGGGAAGCTGTTATATGCATAAATCGGTGGAGAATATTCAGAAAAACTTCTGCCAAGTGTATTTTTATTTCTAGCGGTGGCAGCGGTAATTAGAAAAATATTTCAGATTTTTTTAAAAAAAGACTGTTGGTGAATTTTGGCTCGGCACAATCTTTTTTCAACCTGGGTAGATTGCCAGCTTTTAGTAACACATTTTCTGCTGACCTGTCCTTAACCCCATAGCAGCTATGGCTCCACTTCCTTTTTATCGGTTCCCCTTCTGTGCCCTTGTTGCCTAGTCTGAGATAAAAACTAATAGTAAGGGCCTTTCAAGATGATAACCTCCACCCTATATTGATTGCTTGGCACTGGAGAAGCAGACCGTTTTCAGAATTTGCATCTAAACAAACCTACCTGTCTTTAAAGAAGATGAAAGGAAGATACTTTTCTTTAAGAACTCTTGAAGAATTAAGACATCTTTGAGAAAAGTTAAAAAAATCAACTTCCCATATAAAATACTGTAGCACTAAAATACCACCCCATAAGAAAATGAGACTAAAAATAAACCCTGTTTTCTGAAAGGACAAATGAAGTATGGGAAGTCGATGGGAAAGTCACTGTTGTAACAAAGAAGGAACATCATGTGGATGGCAGGAGAATACTGATTAAAATCATTGTCTAATACATAAAATATGACAAATGCTCTGGCTGAAAGAGCCCTAAAGCACAAAATTATCTATGACAGAGAAATGTTCAGGCTTTAAAGAATCTCAAGCTTTGAATGTTCAATTATCTCACTTTTCTTTCACTTGGGTGCAGTAGTGTTTATTCTTAAAATATGGTTCTTGGACTTACCTGAGCACCTCATCTTAAGCTTTATGCACAGATCCATAAACCAAGCAAGAATGGTGTCCCTCTGTTGGCAGAGAATATGGCTCTAGACTCTGAATAATAAGTGTGAAATGGAGGTGGGTGGGTTTAGAACAGGCAAACCAGAACTGAGAAGTTACCAGCCTGGTCTGCCAGCTCCATATTCGAATGGGAGCCAGCCAAAGAGCACATGTTCTAGTCTTCACTCCCCTCTCCATCCCTTTAGCGCTGATATTCATGTACATGTATCTAGGATTGTTTGCAGTTATGCACATAATCATGTGTTATTTCTTGTCCCATTATGAGATGGTCTGGTGGGGGATAAAGTATGAGAATTTAACCCCTTCCAGTTTTGTGGAATACCAGTAAAGAGACTGTGGGGTAAAGGCCTGGTGAAAACCTACCTCACGGGAGAGGGCTGGAAGCTCAGTACCATCCCTAGACAACAGTGAGGGTGCAGTGGCAATGTGCCAATGTATTCCCCAAGGACTGTTATTCCTAGGCTGTTCACAGGAGGGGGTTAGATCAATCTGACAGTCAAGTCTCTCAGTTTGCAGAATCTATTCCATCTTCCTCATCTATAGGACACCACTATAAAGTTACAGTCTTAGTTTTCTCAAAATTCAACGCTTGTATAGTTAGCTGTTTCTTCCCATCCTTTCCCCAGGACTGGAGCCTATTTACTACTAGGAGCACAACATTTTTATACCATAAGGATGTACAGTACTCAAATATTAAACTTGATCTTTGTTGTATGGAGATTATCTCCCCTCACAACTCACAGAAACAGTTTATTCCCCTCTCATAGAGAGGCACTTATTTTGCTTGTGGTTACCAGCTTTTTCCGTTCCTATAAATGGAAAGTATTTTGATGGCATGAAGAAGTGAACCTTTTCTATGAAATACACATGGTAGTGGTATTAGTATGTGTGCGTGTGCGTGCATGGCGTGCTGTGCGATATGGTAACACACATTTTCCTCCCTGCCAACACAAATTCCATCAAGTATAAAGTCCAAGCCGTTTCTCAGTTCTTCAGAAGGGAAGTGACGACTAAAGTCCATTTTGTCTGCTGTAGCTGAAGTTGGACTCTTCGATCTGAGTTTCTGTAAGGTTTGAAATTTTTGGCTGTGTCCTTCCTATCTCTTCCAAAGCACAGGCTAGAGAGTCTAAGTCGCCATCATGCTGATGTCTGGCTTCCCATAAGTCCAAAATGACAGCAGATGGGCTGCGCTGGGTAGCAAAGTAAGACAAATTCCTAAGAAGAGAGGCAAAAACAGAAGGGTTAGGGCAAAGGACTCAATGGCAAGAGAGGAGAGGTTGACTGAAAACATGGACTCACCCCATTCAGCTTTGAGCTGACACATGATTTGGGCTGATCCAGCTCAAAATGGGTTTTGCTTCTCATCACTAGAACCCGCAACTGCATACTTTGCAAGCTGCACCACCATCTGTTTGTGGAGACAATATCAGCTTGGGGAGGGCTAGTCAATGGGCTTGCCTACCCAATAACTGAATTAAATGGCCAATGTTTAGATGCATTGTTTCCTGAAGAAAGTATGGAAATTGCCTCTTCCACCTCCTTGTCAGAAAGGAAAGGGAATCTCAGCTTGCAAATAGGATTTGTGAGCAAGCAGATTAGCAGAGCAGACGTGGAAAATCATCTGAAGGCTTTCTTACAATTCCTGTTGAATGCTCACAAATTGTTTGAGTTTTTTAGTGTGTCTGATCTATATACTCACAAAACTCCACTGATTTTTGAGATGGGAGGACTTTTGTATATAATTGGTGGCAGGTGGCATTTCCCATGGAAATTGTTTTGACTCATTTGTTCTGGATTGACACACAGGTACAAAGAAAAACAATATGTTATAGGAAAGACATGCTGGTGCTCAAAAATGTTTGATTCTCAAGGGTGGGTAAACATGGTCATTCGTATGAACAAGGATAAGACTACCAATGGATATTTATGATGTTTATGTTTCCCTTAGAAACACAACATATCTTCTCCTGTTTCTTCATAATAACAACTCTGTGAGGAAGACCTCACTGTGTCTGGCTCAAATTTAACAAATGAATTTCATAGATGGGTGGGAAATCAATCCGAATCTCCCAATTCTCAGTCTAAGATGTTTAACTACTATACCACTGTAGCTATAAGTCAAGATAGAGATATATTCCTTCCAGAACTGGAGGTGGCACATCTCTGGAACCCCCTCAATTATACACCATAATATGTTGAAAGGGTTTGAGTGTGTCAGGGAAGCTAAGAGCAACACTATCAGGAAAATCTAGACTCCTAGAAGGGTTACCTAAGACAGAATGGCTAGATCAAATCAAACCTGAATTCTCACCAGAAACTAAAATGACTAAACTATGGTGATTGTACAGTGGGCATAGCATAAGAAAATAAAACTCACACTGGAAAAGACAATAATGCTAGGAAAAGCTGAAAGCCAATAGGAAAAAAGGAAATATAATGTCGATTGTCTCAAAACAAGAAGCCATAACCATTGGTTTGCAAGACATAGTTCATTAATTTTTTAATGGCATGGGATGCAGTCTTTAAGTAGTTCACACTGGTGGGTAGCGGGGAAGAGGCAAGTATCAGGGAATTCCCATGGTGCACACTGATGATGCTAGTGCATCCAACATCTCAGCACTATGGATCACAAGATTATAATGCTGCGGGTGAATGCACTGGGGAAACTTCCTGGACTGCTGGCTACTTAAGATCAAGGGCCTTGACGGGCCAGGGGGATCCTTATTGCCAGCCAGGGCCAGGCTATCTTAAGGACAGGCTTGGAACTTCCCCAGGGTCGGTTGGAGAGATTTTCAAACATGACTTCTGCCTCCAGACTTGTTATGGCAGGCCCCTTAGTTTCAAATATGAAGTTGAAGTCACCTATTGAATTTAATAAAGTGTGGTCCTAGTTTTCACCCATTATTTGTATCTTGGCTCTTTATTTCAGGATGAAGGAGGCAAAGTTTCTTGCGATTCTCAATGGGCACTCTATGACCCCCACCCCCCGGCGGCTCCTAGCACGTTTGAATGGGGCATCAGACTGGAAAAACACATACCCTATTCTACTTTTTTGTTCATCTCTTCATGTTACATCTTTGTTTGAGAGGGGGCCTTACAACCCGAAAACACTCCTAAAAGGACTGTGGGCAAAAGAAAAAGGGCTGAGAATGGCTGTTTTGGCCCTTTGCTTTTTAGTTGCTTTTTAAAAGCAACTATTTAAAATTTTGTTAAAATGTAGCCCTATGATTTATGGAAACGTTCAGGACATTTATTTTCAAAGGGTCTGGTGGAACAAACTGATTTCTGAATGCACATTATTCTCCAGCTGTGTCATTAAGAGACTGTGCCTCCTGACAAATTTACTCTTGTTATTTCTGCTGGGCATAATCATCCAAGTAAGGCTACTGGATTTGCATGCGCAAATGGATAGCCATATTTACATAGAGCCTACTTATTTATATACATTGTACATGCATATGAGCCTTGCTGGGGTTAACCCTTTACTGAAATCTGTGCAATAAGAACTACTCAGATTATGCTAAGGGAAAGATCAGACATATGTAACTCCACTACTTGATGTCACATGTTCTGTATGAAAAATCATCACATAGCAATTTTTTTCACATTATCTTACGTTATCTTAAGGACAATACGTTTCAGTGGATTTATTTTACACATTAAGTTGCGAATCTTCATCACTGAATATTGAGATATGTCGTGGGACATGTCATGCACGTATCAACTTTATGCTCTTCTATTCAGCACCTCCAGGTGATTGCCCACTCAAAGGCATCGCTGTGGGCTTCCCTGCCCTGCCTCCTCATCTGAGTGGGCAGCCATTGAACAAGGCAGAGAAGGGAAGAGCACACTGCTGCCGGTGAGTGGGTGAGCACCCAGAGGAGGCGGGGGAGGGAAGCATGCGGCGTCCGTGGTTCACCTGTGCAGATACTGCACTGAACCAGGCTAAATCACAGTTCATGCCCATTTCTAGTTGAAAGGCAGTCATACAGAAGAGAGGCAAAAATCTGTTCTCAGCCATTCCAGAGTGTAGGACATGTAATAATGGGCTCAAGTTACAGGAAGCCAGATTTAGGCTGAATATGAGGAAAAACATCTTAGCTGTTAAAACAGTATGACTATCTTGGGAGGTGGTGAGTGCTCCAAAGCTGGAGGCATTCAAGAGAAAATTGGACAACCATCTGTCAGATCTGCTTTGAATTGGATTCCTGCATTGAGCAGGGGGTTAGACTCAACCGTCTTGTAGACCCCTTCCAACTCCATTATTCTATGATGTTTTCAATGCCCCAACTTTCATAGTCCAAATCTATGAGGTGCTTTGATCTTTATTGTTTTCACCAGAATCCAGTACTGTCAAGTGTTTTGCCATCCACTGCATGTCAGTATGGGAAAAAATATTTTAAAAACTTATATGGTGCACCCCTCCCATGTTGTTTCTACCGGCAAAATATGAATGTACACCACATATCAGGTCATTTGGTGATGCTCTGACCCCCGCCCAACAAGATTAACTGATCTATTTCATAAATCATTTTCCTACACTAAAATCATGCCAAAATATTTGTAATATAAGACAATTTATTACATAGAGAAGACAAACTACTTACGTAGTAACTAACAAGTTTGGTAATAGTGTACACACAATCATATTAAATCACTTTACTGGATTTAAGGTCTTGTGGAGGAGAATGTTAATGTATTTTTTGAAATTTGGGAATTTGTTTGCGGTGATATTCGACCACTTGCAATAAAAACTGGTTGTTTTTTTTTGTTTGTTTCATCATTGGTAACACTAGTTGAGAAGTCTTAGATTAGTTTCACAGCCTGTTCCAACAGATAATTCACCACTTTGACATGCCACACATATGTCTCAGCTTCTTGGTAATTGGAATCATTATGCCATTCACTAACAGGTTTGTGAAACAAGAAACAAGATTTAGGCCCAATAAGGGATGATAGTTTTGTACTGTGGCTCAGAATAGGAAAAGTTGGATGGCCCCTTTCAAACTCTTTTGGTCCAGGAATCTGGAGCACTGTTCGAGCAATCTGCTGCCTTTCTGAAGAGGAAAGTCTGTTTGAAAATAGAGAGAACACAGCACATTCTTTGGTTATGCACCAGAAGTGCCTTTCCATGGCTTTTATGGCTGCATTTGCAACTTGTGGATCATGCTTGCAATACTTGTTCAAGTCATGCCATAGCTTGAGATCATTATATGCTGCATTGGCCCCAATGGATGGAGAGCCAGTTTTCAATGTAGAATAGTGCATTAAATTTGCATAGTGCTTCCAGTTTACTGATCATGGCTTTCTCATATCCTGCTTGAGCACTGAAAACCAACATCTTTGCAGGATACAAAATGGATGGCATCCATCAAACATGATGCGCTGCTCCTGGCTTTAGCCAGTGTATTCCTCTTTCAGGTGTCTAACCCAGAAGTATTAACATCAATTCAGCACACTCCCAATAGTCAGTGTGAGGTATTCTGTATTTTACTTTAACCTCTTCTATCTTAATTAAAGCAGGTCACACTCTGACTAATCACTCCTTAAACACTCTCTCTGCCTCAAACTCCAAACTCTCTTTCTCTGTTCTCTCACTGAACTCCACTGACTAGACTCTGACTCACTCCTCCCTTCTGGTTTCTCTGGCTCTGCCTCCCAACAGCTCTCATTGGTACATGCCAATAATCTTCTAACTGAGCCAAAGCAGGGTGATCGCTGCACCATTGGATGGTCTGTCCTTGACCAGATTCTGTGAAGACAGTTTAAACATCTGAAGTTAGTGTTTGGGACGAGCGGTTTCCAGGAATATTCAAACTACAGTGCTAACAATATGGACCCTTCCGGGAAGCTGGGCATTTTTATGTGGTAAAGAATGATACTCGGTAATAGAATATATAGTGTGCTTTGCATGTAACAAATCCTATGCTGGCTACGGAGTTGTAGGCTGGGTCACAATTACACACCTCTGCAGCTGTTGTCCTTCTCCAGACGGAATAAGATTTACAGAGAACAAACAAGGAACAAGTTCTGCTTCTTTACATTTAGCCTTATCTATAATTTAAAGTGGAGACCAGAAAAGGAAGAACACATGCTTTGTACTTGGCTTATAACTGCTTAGATTTTATATATCTATATCTATATATAGATATATATATATCTATATCAACGTATGGTGCTGTATCAACATATACTAGGATATATTCAATTTTTCT